GATGTCGCGGCAAGCAAAGCCTCGAGCCGGGGGGAGTTCCTCGCCTAGGAGATGCAGAGGGTGGGGCAGGCCAAGGAGAACCCGCTCCACGACTTCTGCGAGCGGGGGGGGGAGTACGGAGATGATGATGAAAAAGTTCAAGCGGAAATGGCACTGCCTACGTGGAAAGAACGAGCGCTACCCGGTGGTTGGAACCCGGAAACATCAATCTGGAGGTCGTCATGGCCACTGAATTGGGATGTGGAAGAATACCGGGAAGCCCTGGGAGAAAGATATTGGAAGTGCAGAAGGCACTATGGAGAGGAGCTGAAACGGGTTTCTCTGCATGAGGACGGAGGTGCGGCGCAGGCCATTGTCATGGATTATCTCTCCAAAGAGCTGTCGCAGGCGGAGGAAGAGCTTGTATTCCTTAGGGATCAGGAGGTGGAGGGCATCAGTCGGTTGTGCTCCATGCAGGCGGCAGGCCCGGGGGAGATGGAGAAGGTGCTGCAGACGTACACGGTCCCACTGAGCTCTGGACTTGGAAAAGTGGAGGTCGGCTATGGAAGAGGAGTACCAAGCGATCACCGAGACGTCATGGGTTGTGGAGAAGGTGCATGAAGATGACCTGGCCAACATCCCGGGCATCGAGGATGCGGAATACGCCCCGGCCAAGCTGGTCACCACGATCAAGGCCCCTCATGGTCGGCACCGGGCTCGAGTGGTCATCTGCGGGAACATGCTCACAGCTATGAACGGCGAGAAGGAGCAGACGCCCGTAGATAAGAAGGACAATTACGCTTCGGGCGTAGACGGAACAGCGATCAGGTGTGTCTTGCGGAAGGCGGCGCACGAGAAGTGGGGGATTGCGGCGGTGGACGTGAAGGGCGCCTTCCTCCTAGCGCCAAGAAAGGAGACGAGAAGGACGTTAATTACGCGGCCCCCGCAGATTCTCCTGCAAGCCGGGCTATGCGGCCCAAAGGAAAGGTGGTGGGTAAAGGGGGCGATGTATGGACTGGATAGCTCTCCGGCAGATTGGGCGGCTTTCCGGGACGCATCCCTGAAGAACTTCACTTGGCAGAATGGTGGTGCCCACTACTCGTTGACATCAACCTCAAAGTCAAATCTGTGGTCCGTGGTGGAGAAGAAGAACGGCGGCAAGAGTGGCAAGGTCGTGGGCCACTTGGTGGTCTACGTGGACGACATGATGGTGTGTGGACCTGACAGTGTAGTTCAAGAATGCCTAGGCCGCATTGCCAGGGAATGGGCCTGTAGCCAGCCGGAGTGGGTTAGCTTGGAGAAGTGGATTAAGTTCTGCGGCTTCGAGCTCCGATGGGGTGAACGGGGACTGCTTCTAGGGCAGCCTTCCTACATTGGGGAACTTGCTCAACGACATGGAGTGCAACAACCTAGGCCAGTCCCGTTCTCCAAGCCGGAGGTGCTGGAAGGCGTAGATGTGAATGCAGAGGATGTTAAGAAGGCGCAAGGCCTGGTAGGGGAGCTTCTGTGGCTTTCGGTTAGGACAAGGCCTGACATCTCCTTCGGGGTTGCTTGGATGGCGCAGCACATCACCAAGTGCCCTCAGCTGGCGGTAAAGGCAGCGGAAGAGATGGTTGGCTACCTGCTGGGTACGCAGTCACTAGGACTGAGCTATGAAAGGTGTGTTGGAGGTCGTGGTGTTGATGGAGCGTTGCCTTTTGCCCATGCCCTGAACCGCATCGAGCTCTACGCGGATGTGTCTTACGCACCTGGCGGAGGTCGGAGTCATCAAGGGTTGATGGCACGCTATGGGGGGTCATTGGTGCAGTGGCTTTCTGTGAGGCAGGCGTTCACCACCCTGAGCACGGCGGAAGCTGAGTTGGTCGGCTACTTGGAGGCCATGACGATGGGCCAGTCGGTAGCGGTTGTGCTGGGCATCCTGGAGGACGGGGCTTGGGACGACATTCTCGTCGATGTGGCCCAGCGACGGGAATCGGTCTATCGAGATCTAATTCAACATGGAGAAAGACTATGTGAAGGAGAGGTTCAAGACGTGGATGCTCTCCTGGAGGAGGAACAAGGAGATTATGAAGATGAGAAGAAGCAACTACCGGCGGGATTTCGTGAAGGCGCGGGTGTCCGTTGTGGCAATGATCGGGAGAGGGTTCAAGCCGGTAGAGACTCTGGTGAGGGTCGAGGCGGGGACTTCGTGGTGTACGGGGACAACTCGAGTGCCATCACGATCATCGGGAGTGCTGACGGACCATGGCGCACTCGTCATCTTCGCCTACGTGCCGAAGTACTTAGAGAAAAAGTAAAGGGCGGACGATGGGCTGTTCGACATCTACCGGGCACGAGGCTGGTTGCGGATCATCTCACGAAGGCTATGACGGCAAAGGCTCAATGGCCTAAGTTCTACGAGCTGGCCGGGATGGTCAAGGTAGACTTGGAGTGTTCGACGGAGAATGTGAACAAGCTGAAGTTGGCAGGACTGGGCGAGTCCGGAGAGCTGGGAGGAGAAGGAGGCTAAGACCCTCTGCCTAGCGGCTCTAGGAGTAGGTGTTGCTTATGTGGCCACCCAGATCAATCGGGGCCACAGTGTCAAGAAGTTCACAAAAGAAGGAAGAAGATTTTCTAGGGAAAATGAACCAGGGGCAGGGGAAATGTCCAGGATCCCTGAACCGGACACCCCAACGTGGGAAAGACCTAGGGTCCCTGAACCAGGTCCCCCAGCGGAGAACTCAAGGGAATATGAACCTGAGTTTTCGAACAAGATGCCTAGGGAAGATGAACCAGGCGCAATGGCCAGAATAGGTCGAGTTGGGGCCGGGGTAAGGGACTGGGAATCCGAAGGTACGTCTTTCCCCACGTTCAACCACTGCCCCGAGGGCTGCCCTGTAGAAGCTGAGGGTCTTGTGAATCGTCAGCCATGGCTCTTTGGTGGTGGAAAGCTGTTCGGAGGGGTGGAGAAGCCATCGGTGGAAGAGGAACCGGAGGACTTTTGGGACGTGCAGACAGGGGAATCGGAGATCGTTTTGACGCGAGTCCACATGTTGTCTCGGCACCGGGACTACCAACCTCAAGCACTGGACTTGCCACCGGGTGTTTCTCTGGAACGGTTGGAACAGAGACGGCAGACAAGCGTAGTGTACGAGGATGTGAACATGGGGAGGAGGCTCATCAATGGCCGGTGGACAGAGGATAACTTCAGGTTTCGCGGAGCATGGAGAGGGGCAGCGACGTTCTGGATGCCTCTGCGGCGTGAGACGGCTGTGGCAAGGGCATCGGAGCATCCAAGGCAGGTTCGGCCCCGTCTACAAGCTCTGCGAGTTCCGGAGGTATGTGTTCTACCATCTGGCGAACAACCACCACGGCCACTAGATGAAGCGGGTGGAGGATTGCCTGGAATCCATCAATGGATGATGAGCGAGAAGACCACTGGGAGGTGGAATTCCGGGAAGATGGTTTGGTGGTGGCCACGAGGGTGCACGAGGTGGAGAGGATTCGATCCTATCAACCCGAGCGTCGAGATCTGCCGGCTGGCCTCTTTCTGGAGGATTTTGAGGATAGGAGAGAATCGTTCATCAACCCGGTGAACAACCGCGAGGAAGCTCAGCGCGGGGTATGGACCCAGGTCGAGGACAACTGGAGGCGGGACGTCTAGAGAAGGCTGGGTTGGAAGTTCGCGATTCTGAGACCGAGATGCGGCGGATTGTGGTGCTGTCGGGACGACCCCTCACGGAGCTGGAGAGACGCAAGACGAGAGTCGGGTACCTCTGGGCCGTCGGCTTCAGCGATTGCTACGGCTGGATCAATCAGGGCGAGCGCCACGGCTGGTGGAGATCAGAGGCCAAGGAACACCAAGAGGACAAGGAGGTCCAGCGGCGAGGCTGGAGAGAGCTTCCTCAAGGGAACAATAGTCTTGGCGGTGTTCTTCGGCATGATCAATGGAGCAGGAGCTCACGGCCCGGATATGTTGGAGGAGGACCAGTTGCTGGTGTGGATGATGATCGCCTGAGGCGTTGTTCCTATGGCGGGGGGGTACCTCCGGTCAAGGTGGAACTGGAGTCAGAAAAAGGGAGAATTCAAGATCAAGACCCTAAGGAAGAAAAGGGCTCCCATCAAGAGACGTCCCCGGAAAGGGCTAGGGGCAGCCCGCAAGAGACTAAGAGGGGTTTCCCGGGGAGCTCTAAACAAGAAGTGAAGTGTCAAGATCCGCATGAAGAGGCCGAAGGGCCCACTGAAAGAGACCAGGTGGAAAGCGGCTCCACAAACGGACAGGACTTGGACAGACAGGACAGTCAGCCTGGACCCAGGAGTCTCACCAATAGCCTGTCGAGGCTCCATGGTAGAGAAGTAGCTTGTAGGACCATCGGAGCCCATGGACGCTTGCAGGATGTCATGGTGCCGGTGGGTACCCTTGATGACCCTGCTCGGAGGAGGTATTTCAAAAATATGGCGGAGCAGTCTTGGAGGCACTGCTTCTTGGAACGGAGAGAGGAGGTTGAACGCGGAGGTGGATTCAAGGGGCCGGGAGAATTCAGGCTTCATCCCTTGGAGCCGACACCACCTATGCCGCTGGCTATGTGGCCTCATGGAGATGCCGCGGAACCTGGCAGCGATTCTGGCCGGGGAAGCCAAGAAGGAGGATCTTCGTCAAGTGCGGTGCGAAGGGCAAACGCGGCGGGACCGGTTCACATGACCAGCATCAACCCGGTGCAGATCGGCGACACTATTTTGCAGATCAGCAAGCACCGTGGGAAGACCTACGACCAGATCGCCAGTGATCATCCAGACTTTGTTCGCTGGGCGATAAGCACCGCGGCCGTCCAAGATGTGGATCCGCGGCTTGCGCATTTTGTCAACTGGGCGTTAGGCTCAGGTTAGAAGTTGCTGTAAAAAAACAGCAAGGGGGAGTGTGAGTGACGCACACCCGACCATGACGCTTGGCTCAAGAAAAAAGTGTGCGGCGCTGAGCTGTGCATTTGGACCCCTTTTTGGTTCTTGTGTTTCGTAGAAACCAATCGACCCCCCCTCCGCACCTCAAAAAGCAAAGCCCGCAGAGGCGCAAGACTTACGTGGGAGCTATGGCTGCGGTCAGCCTTTTGGCTGGACGGGTGAACCCCAGTTTCAAACAAGATCGCCCATGCCTTCTCGGATTGTACTCGGCTTTCGCTGTTGACACACCTTTCGTTTCATATCTGCAACACTTCTCTCGAACCTCGAAGCCCGGAAGTTGATGTTGGGTCCCGGGAAATGCTTCCATGACCCTGGGCTTTACCCAGGGTCAAATGTTAGGTGAAGTAACCCAACTCATCAAACACTCGCACATGTTTGAACATCCCCGTGAACAAGTGCTTTGACTTATTCTTTGTGGGGGCCGGAATGCAATGCGAACCACCCCGCCAAGCTTTTGTTTCAAACCAGGAACAGAACTTGCAGCTGAAGCGAAACAGCTTGTGTTTGTCGGACCATCCTCTTCAAAAAGGCACCTTGTCCACAAACATCCTGGATTGAAGGAGCCCTGGAAAGAATGGTTGGAAGTGTCCCCCAGAACCTTGTCCACTTCCATTGTTGGAAAACGGGTAGCCTTGAGGCCTCACTCTGAAAAGCAGGCGCTCGCTCAGCCGCTTTCTTTCACGGCTTCTCAAGGTGCAAGCTGAAGAATCGCACAGACCCGGTCCTCTTGGGATCCCTCGTGCCAATCAATGGGGTGTGTCTTTTTTGATGGGACCCCCTTTTGGGTGTTTTTTTGAAGGAGACCCAAAAGGAAAACCACCATGTTGGAGGGGTCCCCCAAAAGAAAGACGCTCTCTTTGGCTATCAAGAGATCCCACAGGAGACCACAAGCCGGCACCCGACTCCCAATGGAGGCTGTGCCAACCAAAGCTTTTGAAATCCCTGCGTTGCCATGAGCACTCCAGCAGCCCATCCACAGCTGATCTGGCAATAAACTTTGAGAGCCGTATTTGGAAACCATACTCAAGCACAAAGCATTCCTTGCTCACTCAACGCACCGGCCTGCTCTTCACAATTAATCCATCAGATCTGCCCATCCACCTTCGCTGCATGCAACATCACAAGCCACACCGTTGCACAAAACTCCATCGCCCGCAGAAGTTCTCTGTTTGCCAGTTGAGGAAAACGGGGGTCACTGGATTTCCCCTTCAGCAGTTTCCCCTTCAAAGGTTGATCAATGTACCGGTGAATTCCACCGAAGCTGCCACTTTTGAAGGTGCAAAAAGAGGAAATGTATGATCCCTGGAAAGTGATGGAAAGGTCAATCAAGTACGGCAATGGCTCATGGAACGGCGAAGAGGCACTAGCACTGCAAATGTGATTTGATTCATGTGGACCCCGGATTCATAAGCTGGTTCTATTCTTGGGTGCTCCCCTCCAAAAGTGATGAATCCCGGATTGAATCCCCCAAAACCCAGGGCTAACATTGCTTGATGCCTTCCAAACATTCAGTACCAGCAACTGAGAACAAAGACATTTCCCGAGGATCCGGCAGTTCAAAAAGACACTAACACGAAGGGAAACGCGCACGAAGACTCCAGGCCAAAAACCCCAAAGCATGTCAGCAATCATGGCAATGCATGCTTTGACCCTCAGCAGCTGATCGGTTTGCTTTTGTGTCTTGGAGTTGTTTGATGTTTGGGGTGTATGAGATCCTGCGTTGGCTTGTTGTTCTTTTTCGGGGGGGGGCACAACATCAACAGGAATGATACTGAGTGACAGGTGTGTTTTCAACATTTGAAAACAACTTATGCACTCGTCAGAGTCCATCCCACTCTGTACTTGTTTGTGTAAACACACGTTGGATGGCTAGGAATGACTCTCGGAATAACTCGGAATGTCTCCACTCGCTTGCTTTTTGGATGGGCTCAGCATGCGCCGTAAAACATGCCGCTTCTCCCTGACTTCTGGCCGAGCAAATTCCCAAGCACCAACTCCAAAGCCGCGAAGTCGCCCAAGAGACGAGATCCATCCGAGGGCCCTGCGAGATCAGTCCTGAGAGGCCCCGAGGGGGCGGTCCCAAAACAACCCCAGCAACCCCAGCGAACCTGCCCGGAACCCCACCCAGCACCGGGCCGCCTCAAACTGCAGCTTAAAAAGGCCCAGGTCTGGCAATCCTCTTCCAATGTCAACTTGGGGGTACCAATCAGAAGAATCCCCCTATGAACTCATTCCCCAGGCGAAGGCGATCTCCTTTCAGATTCATCAGACTTCGGCCATAACTTGGACGGCTCATATTGATTCTCTATGGGTACCTTCCCCATTCTTTCCAGGGATCCTTCTTTCCAGAAAACCTCCGGAAACCGGAAAAAAAAGCAGCCGGTTTTTGGAAAGAACGATGGTTGAAAAGAATGGCAACGGAATCAACCCCTAGGGATTCGGCAAGACCTGCAACACGCCTTGCGATTGGCAACCCCTCCTCCTGGTGCCGGTTGGGGTCGTGGATGAACTTCCAGTGCAGCTGCTTGGCCTGCACCAAGCTCATCTTTTAAAAAAAAAAGAGGTGAAAGTCTTCTCACCCAAAATGAAAAGGAATTGCGCAACCCCTGCTTCTGCGATTCTGACTCCTGGAAACCGACAAGAGTCAAAGATCAGGAATATGGTCTGCTTGAGGGCAGCCCGGCTGCGAACAATAAACTTCAACCCGTTCTTTCTAGCGGTTCCCCTTTCCAACAAAAAGGTTTCACCCTCCAGGGACGCTCTCTTTGCCCAGCCAACGGCTCTGCCGACAGGGAATTGGGGGTGCGTAAAAAGTCCCTGCGCTGCTAGCCACTTCCGCGACATCTGGCGTTGGTGTACTGACATCCTCAATGGGTAGATTCTCCGGGCAGATGCCAACCAGTCCGCAGCCAAACCAGCGGTTGTCACAACCAGCACAAGCCCAGCCAGATCATATCCCATGTCCGAGCCACTTCGCGGCCTTCTCAGAGTCGAACTTCTGGCGGCACTCGGCACCTAAGACAAGCCCTTTGGCGCGACTCAAGGTGGATAACGACAAGCGGGTGTGAGTCTGTGTATGTGCGTATGCTTTTCCTGAGGGCGCCGATCCCTTTGGGTTCTTTAAAGGAGAAGAGTGAAACCACCAGTTTGGAGGTCCCCCGCCCAGTCCAAGACAGCAGCCCCGAACTGGTGCCAACTTAAATGCACTCAACCATTAAATCGTCCAGAGTTTGAGAAACGGCTGACCTTCAGGCAATGCAAATCCTTCAGCATCCTTGAATAACTGCGCGGAAACTGCACCAAGAGTCCTTCGTTCAGCACCTGAGATGCGAGCACTGGAACTTGGCGTCCACCTTGATGCCAACCTTGGCCAAGGAAATTGCTATACCCGAGCCAACGGGCATCCCAGACTCCGAAACCCGGTAAATCCGTGTTCCATGGGCCCAAAAACACGGGGCGGCAAGCCAGAAACCTGAAGACCGTTCCGAAACCCTATATGACTCCCTACCAACAAACGTGATGGTTTCATGGTGATGGTTTCAACCCATTCATTTGGGGGTGCGAAATGGATTTCGCAACCATCCACAGTATGACAAGGCGTGGACCGTATAAAGCCGTGCCAGACAACCTCAATCAACATCCCCAAGCTGGCTTAGGACTGTCACACCTCTCTTGGCCAATTTGTAGGCTGCCAGGCGTTCTGGGTGCTGCCATCACCCGACTTGGCTGCATCGCTGATCTCCATCGTCTCCGGCATGGCGTCTGACCTTGCATGTGTCTTCCGTTCCGGGCACAACCTATGTGCAACAGGGGCGTCTCTTTTTCGAGGAGCCCAAAGATTGTGGCGCTCCTGTCAGAGCTCCCTTGAAACCACCCAAAAAGTAGCACCCTGAAAAGAAGACACACCCATATCCAGCCAACGCTGGCTTGTACAAGTGCAAGTCGGCCCTGAATAATCCAAAGGTTTGGTGAATCCGGGGTGTAGATTACACATCGCTCCAAAACAAGCACGCCGCTGCAATGCTTGAAATTGGAATGCATTGGACAGCTCGATTTGCACATCGAGCGGCAAAGTCCCAAATCGAAACCCCGAGCGGGTTCGGAACGTGTGGGATGAGTTGCCCCGAAACCGGGAAGTCGCTCAGCCCCAGCTGCCTTGAAACCCAAGGCGCAAAATCGGCTCCCCTCCCCGGCCCCGGCCTTCGGACAAAAACGCAGACACTCGCTGGCAGAGCTAGAGCCAAATGCCGACGAACCGGGGGATTAACGGGGCCTTCCCCAGAGCCCAGTTGATACAAACCAATGTGCTGAGGGAGACCCCCCCCAACCCACCAACCCCACCCTCATTCTTTTAGACATGTTGAATCAACCAGAATTGATCCGTCCCAGTTTTTACAGTGGATCGGGATTGGGAGGGAAGCACCCAGCAATCCACCTTGCAGGATCCGACACGAGCCCACCACGCGCCGAGGCCGGAGATCCGTTGGCCTTCGTTCGGTCCCAGAGTGAGCAATGCCAGCGAAAGATATCTGGGTGAGAAACAAAAAAAAACCTAGCCGTTCTCTTTCGGAGATGTCTGAAAAAGGGAGTTTAGAACAACATGTGTTCAGTTGCAAACATGAGTTAAGCCCGCGGCTAGATACTGCCGGGCCTCGAAGTTTGAAGGCACCGCCCCAGCTCGGGCCGGGACAAAACTCTCGCACGACTTGTTTCGCGAGCCCAGAGCCGCGCTCGGTGGCCGAAGTGACAAGACCCTAACCTTCGGGGAGATTGGGCTGGGCGCACGTTCGAATCTCTCCTCAAATGTCTCACAAGTTCAGGATCCCCGGTGAAACGTGAAGTTCTCACAGGAAAAACTTCCCCCGCCCTGCAGCCTGAAGTGCTTTAGTAAGTCTTAAGTGTTCGAGATCAAGCGATCAGAACTCCCGGAGTAAGGAGAGTCGAAGACCAGTAAGCCCACATGCCTTTGTTCTGCCATCTTGGTCTTCTTCCAAATAAACCTCCATGTTGTCACTTCGAACACTGCCACAATTGCTCTGCGCTAATTCACTGGCGGCTGCCAACCCTTGCTTTCAGCGAGGGCAGCAGAGGCGTGCGACCCTCCAAGCATGTTCCTCTCGCACAGTCATATGCGTGCATCTTTGTTTGAGGGTAAACCTTGTTGGCTTTTTGTTTTTAAAGGGAGACAAAAAGCAAAACCGAAGCCATTTTGGGGTGCCCCTAAAAAGCCACGCCCATATGATGCTGAATTTTGCTTCCCCTTCATTGCTTCACCTCCAATCTGCTCCGGTGTTCCTTGTCTTGGGTACCAGTAGACATCACCCAATGGCAACTCGAGGAAAACTTGGCCCTCGAACGTGTTCAAACACAAATGTTGCCGCTTGTTCAGGGCATCTGGTTGAATCATTGCGTAACCTCTTCCAACCATGTGGCTGTGGGTCAAGAATAGGTACCCAAAATGGAACCCTGGTAAATGGAACCAAAGACTAAAACCTGTGGTCCCCTGGTGGCTTAATTTTGACCCACACCCATGTCTTCAAAACTACTCTCAAAGCACACGGGGACACATGAGGGACGCCGATCTCCGGAACTTCGCGCACATGCTGCGGCGGCTCAAGCTGAGCGCGAGCCCCGCAGCACCCGGCGAAGCAGCCGACCGCCGGCCGACTCGGATTGCTACCGAAAGGCCGGAGGTTTTGGTGGCTCGCAACTCACCGAACCGGAACTGCCTGACTTGCTTGATTCAAGATGCTCTTATTCCTGTCCACCTAGCTGGCCCAACTTTGGTCGACTTGTTGTTGGAAGCGCCGCAAGCCATGCATGACACGGCATGCCACTGCTTAACACTTGCGGAAGGAAGGCTTCGGAATTTGGTGCTGAAATCATTGAACTGTGGACTGCCGTCCGCATCAAGTAGCCCGGCTCTTCTTCAGCCGCAGCACGCTCAACCTTCTGCTTCAACTTGACCGCTCTTTGCCCAGGCAACCCTGCCTTGAACAGGGATGCGCAACGCAGAGATGCACCTTCCCCATCTTCCAGGACACTTAGTGTTGACTCCGCTTGCTCAAGCCTGTTTGCACGGGTACTGCGTTTGCTGGTTGCTTCAGCCCTTTAGTGCGGGCATCTGGGGACCCTTGCCTTGGCCTGGCTTGGCTCCAACAACCATGGAAGCTGACAGAAGGGGGTTGGAAGACTTTTCCCTTCGGGCAAGCCCTGTCCACTTCCATGATTGCTGGAAAAAGAGTAGTGGTACACCCCCTGAAACTGGAAAGGGTCCGATCCTCAACAAGGGTATTGTACCCTTTAAACATCACCGACCAACAGGAGCCGAGGATGATTCCCAAACTTGAACTAAGAATGCCCGGGCCAAGGCGCTGACACGAAGACCTTAAGAACGCGTCTAGGGCTGCTGTCCAAAGGAAGCCGATTTTGACACCCACGACTTGGAGCTCGAATCCTGAAAATGGCCCAAAAGCAGCATGGGAACTCACCGAAACCTCGCCCCGCGATCAATAGGTGAGACAAGCTGCAGCAACGAGGCGCGTGGCGTCCGGAGCACCGAACAGTGCCAATTCGTGCCAAAAGAACCAGTCAGTTGCTGCAAAACAAGTGTGTGGATCCAAAAGCTCCCCCAAAGCTCCCCCCAAAGCTCCCCCCCCCCCGGAAATTATATATACATATACATATACATATATATATATATACATATATAAATACATATATATATATATATATAGATGCAAGCCGCCTTTTGCTGGCCTCAAAGGAGGCTACTCAAAGCAATGGCAAAAACGTAAAGAATCAGCAAGGGCGGTTTTGCCGCACCTGAAAGCCATGGCAAGCACATTCAACCTTGACTTCTCGACTTCCCCGGGCGTTGCTTCCCAGCTAGACCAGAGATTGCCAGAGCCCAGGACTTCCAGCGCAGGCGCCTCTCTTTGGCCGCAAAGAGATTCACTCGCCGTTCAATAGGCACCCCACCTCGGAAGGAGCAAACGCATGAGCCAAGAAAATCCGAAACATGCAAGACCGGGGCCTTCTGAAATGATCAAAGAAAAAGCATGCTCAAAGGAAACTCACTTAAAGTCACCCCAAAAGATTTTTGGAGGCATAGGAACCCATAGACCTCATGCTCCTGTCAATGACGGCCAAATCTCGTGGACCTCAGAAGGGGATCCAACTGTTTGTTGCGTTGAGGTTCTCAAACGAACCTGAACGTCACAGTACCCACCCACCCACCCACCCTCAAGGGAAAAAATAAATAAGAAAAAAATGAAGAAAAAACAAGGGTTTCTGTTTGGTCTGGTGGAAAGGGTGGTTTTTGAATGGCCGAACTGTATCCTTGGAGCCCGCTCCAAGCAACGCTTGGACGTCGGTCAGAACAAAACGGACTAAGTGCTCTAGTTACTTGGAACAGAAATGTCACATGAATCACAGGAAAAACATCTGAGCAGTTTTGTGTAAGTCTTGAACCGGATATCAAGAATTCCCCGTGGCACTTTCGCTATGGGTATATAGCTGAGCTCGCCCCGAAATATGAGGGTGCTGTAAAGAACCTTCGAATACGAGTGACTCTTCGAGGCCGCGATTCATGCATCCCACGTGCCTCTATGAATCTAGACCGATCTCCTGGGCCAAGGGGCATTGGAGCGCCCAAAGGTGGGATGCGGCCGGTCGGAGACACCGCGGATCCTCCGAGCACAGAGGAACCTTGTGCCCCACACCCCAAAGCTTTCTGCAACCCAAACCCCCAGGGTGGGTTCGTTTAACTATCGAGTTCTCCATCCAAAACCCAACAAGAAACACAGAGACCAGACCAATCTAGAACCTACCAAAATCACACCCTCTCGATGGAATATGTTCATTCAAGCACTTGCCAAGAATCGAACCTACCAAAATCATGACAGCAGACCACTCCCTCGACGGGAGTCTTTCGCCGCTCCATTTGGAAGCCAAACGGTGGCTTTGTTGAAATCTGAACAAGGTATCAGAAAGTACCCCTTTTTGTGATTTTAAAGGGAAACCAAAAGGAACACCAACCATTGCGGGAGGGTGCCGGAAAAAGAACAAAGGACTCACCCACATCGCTTCTCGCACAACGCGGCGTGCATGGTGATTCAAGTCAGCAGGAGTGCATTATCCCCATAACAACAGCTGGTGCCTTTGACCCAATCTCGTATCCACCATCCCACCAACCGGGCCACGACGACCGCTCCTCCGATCACCGCCCTCCAAAATGGTGCTCGTGGCCCCACGGGACCAGCTGGGGATCCTGGGTGCTACCAAGTAGCACCAGTGTATGATATACATGTGCATATATGTGTATATATATATACATATAGACACGTGCATATATATATATATATATGGAGATAGATGTTAGTACATGTATATGGACATGTGGTTGTACGTGTATATGCATGCATGTGTATACATATATATATATATATGTATTTATATATATATATATATATATGTTTGTACTTTGTTGTTGTGTTTTTGTTGATTCATTTGTTCCTATCTATATCTGACCATCAGTAACCTCATGAAAAAAAAAGTCAGGGCTTCCTGCATGCTACTGTCTCAGTCATGGATATTGCTGCGAACTTCAACGGTTGGAACGTAAATGATGTTAACCAAAGGGTCCCTGATTGACATCAATTCCGATATGAGGTCAACATTGAGTATCCCACTTTCCAGCTTGTCTACTTTGGAAAGCAGGCATTCTGCAACACAAGGCCGTAGGTCAGTCTTGAAAACAGCTCTGTGTGTCATTGTCCTGATGGACGAAGCCTGCCCCGCCATCCCCACTGCTGATTCCCGAAGCTTGCAAGCCGGACTGTGCGGTGGTCGTGTCCTTGTAAAACGCTGTGCAATACCTGACACTACCACCGAGCAAGCGGGCTTGCAATGTGTTAAAGACAGTGTAGAGACGTACCACCGCCCATCATACATGTAGAGAAAACATGATCGTTCACGTCAGACAAACAAAACCCGCCCTGAATGTGTTCATGTTGGTCCGAGCTAAACCTATTTGTTGTTCGGGTCTGAAGGGAAAACACCCACATGAACAATTTCGAGAAACCTTAACAACTGTTCATCCTTCGGAGTCTCACTACTAGTCTTGTACCAATCATCTTTGAGGAGATGGGGCTGTCACTGCACCTTGGGTGAACATCTGTTTGGCATGCCAAGTCCCCTTTGCAAAATGTCAGAACCCGCAAGCAGGATAAGCCAGTCGAATGCATCCCGTGTCAACTAAAATGTGGGCCCTCTGCAGCGCAGCCATGGGCCCGGGCCCGTGTAAGACTGGGCGCCCCAAGACGTCAGTCTGGCCGTCGCATCCGATTGGTGGTGCAAAGGGTACCATCGATGTATGGAGAGTTCTTGTCACCTGGTTTACACTCTGCCCACCATGCTTACATATTTCCCAAGGTGTCAATAGCTTCTTCTGGGTATGGGTCAAAATTAAACCACCAGGAGCATATGGACCGCAGGTTTTAGTCCGCATGGCAACCCATTTTGGGGGCGAAGGTGTGAGTCCAGTGGAATCTCCAAAGACTTGGTGTTTGTTGTGTGAATAGACGAAGCTGGCGAGCTCCTCTTTTTGCTGTTCGGTTCGAAACTGGGTAGGTAAGCTGAAATTGGAGAGGGGAGAGCGGTTGGGACCTTGACCCGCACGCAAGCCAAGGATTCTATTTGGCATGCAACACATCTGAAGCTCCGAAGGGAACCATTCTGAGACCCGTTTTTTTGGGGGCGGCGGCATGGAATGACCATGGAGGTTCACGAATTCTCACAAACATTCTGGAGCCATCCCCGACGTGATAGGGGCACAGGAATGTCCAACATGTGGGTGTGTCTTTTTTTTTGAGGGTATCCCGACGGTATCCCAGCAAAGGTGGCTTTCCTTTCGGTTTCCCCTCAAGGCTAACCAAAAGCGGGTTCCCTAAAAGAATGACGGGCCACCCATGTGCCACTCGTGAGGCCACCTGGATTCATTCAACCAACTGGGCCCCCGTTCAAAAACTTCTGGGCCCCTGCAAAATCCGTGCCGGGCACGGATTGTGGGATTGGTGGCTGATCAGCCAGTATTCAAATCGCTAAAAGGTTTCAGTCCCAACTGCTGTGACTTTTCTTGATTTGGTAGCCCACAGCAAGGGAACGTAGATGCACAAGAATTACCCAAGACCGTTGTTCGCACTTCGATCGTACATCCGGCCGCAATTCCCCATTCGTTGCACTGCCCAGACTTCATCCGCCTCAGCTTTCGCCCCAACCAAATCTAACTTGTGCTTCCAGTCCATGAATTGTCCTTGCCTCAACCTATATCTTGCCCCCTTCAGACCATAAGGAAGGAACGATGGACTCCGGTGCTGCTTCTAGCCCCCCCCCCCTCAGCCGATGCGAGACGTGAAGCTGCCTTCCCCAAATCCGCGAAGCGGAGGTTGCGCGGAGGCGTCATGGACCGCGAGGGCCGCGGCAGATCCCACTCCTGACGGCTTTCCGGGGTTCATCGGGTTTGAGGCTACCCAGTGGGTGGGGTTCATTGGGTTTGAGGCTACCCAGGGGGTGCTCTTTTACTGAAAGCGCTAGGGCAAACCGCAGGAAATTGAGAAATTATCCTGCCAGGTGGCCAGGTGGCCATGGGCCACAGCCATGTTTTTTTTCACGTGGGTTCAGGAAAAGGGAGCAATCCGAAGAATCCCTTTGGGGGTTCCACTGCTGACGGATGGGGTGAATTGAGTTTGTCTGAGGGTAGGGGATAAACAATCAGAATGGGAGTCTGGGGTACTGTAAAAGTAAAATCAGTCATGACCCAGAGAAAACATGGTTTGGGAAACCAAGAGAAAAAACAAAAACAAAAAAAGTAGGGTTCCCTTCCCCCTACAACTCTTTGAGAGAAGGTACCCTTAAAAAACCACCGACCCAAATCTCCGCCAAGGGGCCGCGAAGGTCGACGGCTTGCCAGCGGAGCCTTCGAACCTAAGCCGTGTCCCCACGCCATGGAGGCCTTTCGAGCTTGCACAATGGACCTTGCTTGGCCACCATATCTCCCCCCCCCCCCAAAAAAAAAAAGACATAGGGACGAAGCGTTGTCGCCCTTTGGAGAAAAGAAAAAGAGAGCAGAATGGGCCCAAAGTAGTGCACGCAGAAGTCTTCACTTCCCGAATCTTATAACCTGGACCTTTGGCTCTCTGCGCTTGGAGCAACACCGCCTGACACACCGGAGAAATGGCCCGGAGAAAAAGAGTGAGAGCGGTAGAAAAAGGCCACAGACGCGGCCAAACCGTGGGCTTCAAACAAGTGTGAACAACTCGGCGTGGTGTCCTCTTGGCGAGAAAAGATGTCTTGCCAGGGTCGCAATTCGGCGATATGGGTGCTTCTTTTTTAGAATCGTACCCCCCAACATGGCGGTGTTCTTCTTGGTTCCCTCGAAAACCAGAAAAAGGTACCCGTTCAAAAAGACTGACCGATATAACGATTCGATTGCCTTTTGTCCCTAGCCCATCAGTTGAAAGGATATTGTTCTGAGGCAAAAGAGCGTATGCCAGAAGATGGCCAAATTTGTGCCAAAGGGACAATAACACTTTAGCATCCTCCTCCAAGTGCAAGAGCGACAACCCTGAAAGAACCTCCCGAGTGCGGGGCTGTCTTCCGGCCCAAATGCGGGGCTGCATGTAGAATCGATGTGACAACACGATGCGTTCGAAGGCAGCTGATTTTGCCGGAGGCGGCCAAATCTGGATCAATTGGTTTCAGAGGATTCGTGCATTGACGGGAAAAAAGGCACAAATGGCTTGCTTGTTAAACAAACGAAACAGGGACTTACCCCCCTCAAAGAGAGAGGCACTTTCCTGGGCATCCCCGCAGGCTGTTGCTATGCCTGGGCGTCCCGAAACCTGAGAGCACAGCGGATGGGTGTGTGACTTTTCTCGAGGAGCCCCCAAAATGGCTTCGGATTCCAGGAGAGTCCCATTACCAAAAAAGGAAACGGTAGGGAGGTACGCCGAAAAAAGACAAACCCATGTTTTGGAAACTGAAACTCCGGGGAGCCCGACGTCAGGTTCGCTCTGGCTTGCCAAGCGTGAGTTGCCCCAGTACCACGGTTGTATTATGTGTACAACGGACAACGAAAAAGGAAAACCAACCAGTCGCTGCACATCCAAGCATGTCACCGCAACAAGCCGAACGGCCCCTACCAAATTCAGCCCTGCAGGAGCGCAGGCAGAGCAAAGCAGTAGCCATGCAAGCAGCGCAAGCAGATCGCAGGCTACCAGTTTCTGCAAAAGCACACTTCCCAGTTTTCAGGAACTAGACGAGCCGAGAATTCAGAGTTGGTCATTGTGGCTGCCAGTTGAGCCATCAAAAGAAGAGTTTCTACCAAAAGCCCCACTGGCAAGCCGCCCCATGGGCGTCCCCAACTGATGAATGAGTCAACAAGCTGAATCCTGGGCTCCAAAAGGAGCGGCAGAGAAGGAAGGGATCTGTTCATGGAAAACTCCACCGTCAGCCCGTCTAGAAACTTGCATTTGCTTAAACAACTTTGCAAAATCTGTGTCTTGCTTCTTGAGTATCCAAAACAATGTGGGTCTGTCTTGTCTTGAGGGTACCCAGTTTTGGTGGGTTGTGAAAGGAAACTAAAGGGAAAGTCACCACCTTGGGTGGATCCGATTCCTACAAAACAAAATGGGCTGGAGACGAAGGCAAGTTGCTTTCCTATGATCATGAACCTGCCAATCCGTCCCATGACCCTGTCACCGGCTTTGATACCGGCCAGAGATTTGCTTGATTCAAAAACCGGCTTGTTCTCACGGCTCCCAGCTTGTGATTGCTTCAGCGCGGCATCCAAAGTGCAACCCGGGATGCTGGAAAACCGACCGCTCCCAGATCTAGAGGTTCAAGACTTCCCAACTGCGCGTCTAGCAAACCTGCTGACTCATTGACATATGACATCTGTCCGCCTTCGCTTTCACCACTTGGGGATGTGTCATGATGTGTCATGCACTTGCTCACGCCTCCCTCTTTTTTTCAGAAAAGTGTTCACAAAACTAAGCCCAAAAAGACGGAAAAGATTCGCAGAGCCCACAAAGACCAATTCAGAGAGGAACAAAAATTGTTCAAGGGTTCCAAAGTCTGAAGGCTACCCCTACATGTGCGCCATATGTTACCCATTTAGCCCACTAAAGCTCTCCTTTTCTGAGGGTTGCGACCTACAAGCAGCTGGATTCGAAGTTTCAAGTTTGCTTCTGTTGGCATGTTCTTTCAGCAACCGACACCAACTTCAGATTAACAAGCCACGGTTGATGCGTTGGATACGCAGAACACCCCCCTCACTCACCTTTCGGCGCCCCGGCCCGAGGGCGGCGTGCTGCTCCGGCCAAAGATGTCCGCTTGAGACGCCCTGACCGGCAGAAGGGAGGACAAGCTTCAGGAAACGCAAAGAAGCAAGCAAACAAACAAAGAAGTAAAGAAACAAAGAGACCGACGGCAGGCAAACAGGAAGGCAAGCGCAAATAAACAGGCAAAGATTCAAGCAAATAAAGCAGGGCATCTGTACTAGAAATGCCAGCCAGCACTGCAAACTGTGTATGCGCACTTTGCCTGAAAAATAAACTGAACATGGTATCACTGAGACGACGTAGGCAGCTCAGCAGTAAACAAACACGACCAAATCATGCGCATCAATGGGAAGAGAGCCAGAACAGCTAGAGACGCGCCTGCGACGAGTCTGCAAAGGAACAACTCGCTGGGTATCAAGCTACTCTTACGGTCAATCCTTCATGTTGAAGCCTCCCCAAAAGACCAAAATGCGCACAGAGGGAAATGCCCTGTCGAAGCTGGACATGCAGAGCCTCCACTGGATACCCGTGTCTCTCAAGTCAACCCCCAAAATTTGACATGCATCAAGCTCGGGATTGCAGATTGAACCACATCTCAAATCGGCGTTTGCTGGATGATGCAGAACCCAAATGCAGGGGCCGAGCAAGCGCAAGCCCGATATCAACAGGACTGCCAAATATGCAAGGCGCCAGTGAAACTGGACCTCTCTCAAGCTCGTGAAAAAGAAACTGGGCGTCAAAGCCTGACAATGTCCAACCTTCTCAATGACCCTGACCCGGGTGATATGAGTTGAGGACCCAGCCCCCAGCTTGCCACTTCCGAGATTGCGAGTTGCCATTTCCACCGCGTTCCATGCTCCCATGCCCGCTGGGCCCCCGTGCGCAGACGCCATGCCCACTCCCAGGTGCTTCTTCCTTGGTCCAGAGTCGGAGAGGCCCTGCGAAGGCCAACAGGTCAACCTAAGGAGCAAAGAAACCTGGCCGGCCATTTGGGCGATATCTCAGTCTGCTGGACAAAATAACTGAGAGGCACCTGACAAAGGATTTAGGGTGCACATGAAACTCTGCAGCAGAATATCACATCGCGAGGCTCTAATGTTTCACTCTGATATTCAATGCTGTTCCAGGTGAAACAGGGCGGTTGCTTGCCCCGATCAAGTAAGGGGCACTCGGAGATCATCGTTAGTCCCAGCCAGCCCGCAGGCTTCCATAGGTCAGAACTTCGCGCCGGTTGATACAACACGCCCTTGGGTCGTTGTGGAGCCTTGCGAGTTAATCCGTCGTGTTTCGCCAGCAAGCCAAGAACTGCCCAAGAGACTTTGGGCTGCCGCTTTGTGAGGGTACCCTGCTCGGATGGCTTTTTGAAGGGAAACCAACAGGAAACCGCCCATTTTGGGGTTCTTCTAGTTTGGAGACAAGTCCATGTCGCCTATAAAATCCCTTCACCACATCTTTGGGCCAACTCCTGGTGATCCGTAGGGGATCAACCGGGGGGGATACGGGCGAAAAGCCACGGCTGGGAGACCGTGCCCTGGCACCTCCCGGTGAATGTTCGCCTGCCGGAAGCCCAAGTTTGACCATCCGTGAGCACACCAACGAACCAACCAACCCCAACCAACCGACCAACCAACCAACCAAACAAACAAACAAACTAACTAACTAACTAATAAACAAACAAACAAATAAAGAACACAAAGCTAACAAACAAACAAACAAACAAACAAACAAACAAACAAACAAAGAAAGAAGGAAAGAAGGAAAGAAAGAAAGGAAGGAAGAAACACGCAAGCAAGCCTCATTGCTTGTGAACCAAATCAAAGCAAATGTGCGACCTGGAAAACCAATCCAACAAATTGGAAGGTGCCCAAAAACTGGCACATCGCAACAAGTTGCGCGACAGATTTTCTGTGAGTCTCCCATGTCAGCCCCAAATTGACCATAGACGAACTGGAACCTTAAGGGGTCCAAAGCACCCATGGTGTGTAAATCCGTTCCAATGAGCCTACGCAGGCCCCATATAGTGGATAAGGTCGTGATGGTTTACCCGCTCGCCTTCCCACTAAAGAGCATCTTTGGAAGTGTGAAAGAGCGAATGGCGACCTCGAGCCTGATCGAAGCTTCCTGGGAGAAAGAAACTCGAGAGGCATTGCAAGACGTCTCGGGGGGCGACGATGACGATGCGAACGGCAGTGACGACGACCCCGGCGGAAATGACCCACACAGTGGAGGAGGGAGTACCAAGGATCGGTCGAAGGAAATCAAGGATAGGTTTGGCATCGATGATACGTTTGGAGATGTTGATGCAGCCGTCGAAGGAGATGTCAAGAGTACCGAGCCAACCGCCAAACCGGACAAGAAGTCCCCGGAGCAAAAAAAGGTGGTGCACAAAGGGGCACAGGGTGAAATCCCAATGCCAGCTGGTCTCGAGCCGGGTTACCATAGATGGAGCCGGAGGGACGAGAAAGCCATAGTGTTCCAGACAACGAACGCAAAAGGGGGCCCCAAATGGAAAGATGTTGTAGGAAGTACGACTGTTAACAGCGATACGTACTTCCTTGCATCAGCATTGATCCTAAAAAGGGAGAAGAATCGTAGTATCGAGGCCTGCCATGTCCCTCCCAACTTTTACCTTACCCATGACTCCCCTTCAGATGAACAAGGAACCTAAAAACATACTCATGCAAATAGGACTCCCCGCAGGGAAGGCGCCCAAAACGCTTCAAGATCTGCAAAACCCCTTCCCAGCCCCCCCCATGTCTTGCGCTCCAACTGCCTGCAGTCTCCAACCCCCCCCCAACCCCATGTCTCGCGGCCAAGAAGTCTCCCTGATCCCGCAAATCCCTCCAAAAACCTGTCCAATTCCATTAAAAAACCGATCAACCTCCCCATCTTGCTCCGGTCAAATCCCGCTAGAAACCGCCCAACTTCCTCCTCTCTCCCAACCGTCAAAATTCCCGGAAAACCGGTCAAAGCCTCCTTCAAAAACCAATCAAATGTTCTAAAACTCCCTTCTAGAAACCTGTCAAATCCCCTCTGAAAACCGGCCTAACTCCCGTCAAATCCCCGAGGAAACTGGCAAAATCCACCACCCACCAAAAAAAGTCTGCGCTTGCGCTTGGCCCACCGTTCTGTAGCTCTCTGCGGCTCTCGTTCTGCCCCTTAAAGCCAGGTGGAATGCCGCGGACATGCTCCCACTCTAGCTTGGAAACCAGCTCACGCATTTCAGCGCCGACTCACTCACTTTAATACCAACAAATCAAGGCAAGCTAAAGCGCAGTATATACCTCAAAGCCAGCCAAAAGCGGGATGGTCAAGGCGGGCAACGCGAAGCGTTTACAATTAGAGGTGGCCACGCCAAAGCCCATAGAGATACTGACAGAATAGATTTTGACCAAAAAGGTCGGGCTGAGATCCAAAAAACCCGCCCCAACCCACCGACCAACCGACCCGCAGCCCCGCCTTCCGCTCCGCCCACAGGGCCTCCTGCCGAGGCGTGGCCTGGCCGTTGAGGACCTGGCTTCGTTTCGCGCGACGCCGGCGGAAGCTGGGGGGTCCAAGTCTGGTTGGAGCCCGGCGGTCTGGAGGAGACGGGGAGCGTCCCATTTATCCAAGCTGGGGTTCAACTGCTAGAGTTTTAAGGGAAAACAAAAGAAAAGATCCTAGGGGATTTTGAGATGAGATAAGATGGAACCACAAATCAAAGGCTGAATGAATACGCCCATATATGAACCCAAACGCTTGTCAAAGGGCCAAGAAACAGTTTGACCCCTGAATGGCCATGAGTTCGTACTGCATATAAGAATGCCGAAAGGGGATTCCCAAGAGTCAAGTACTTGGATGTTTGGCCAAATTAGCAAGTGGTTAGCCACTTGAGGTATAACCCCCTTATAGCAAGGTCAACCCCACTGAACGGGGGACCCACAGGTGGGTTATAACCGTTACCAACAACTTACTAACTTGGCCAAACACCCAGGTAGACCGCACATGCTCCTTTGACATGATGCCCATTATGCCAATTGAGCAAGAAACTGCAATGGGGCCGTGTGCTCCTGCTCTGAGAGACAAGCCCATATAGGTTTCATGGAGTCGTGTGAAACGGGACTTCAAGGAAAATCCCTGCTTCTGGGCAAAATTCCTTGTTCTGTCAGCTTTCACGATAGCTGAAAGGTTGATAACCATTCTTGTCAAGCTCAAGTAACCAATCCTTCACACATGGTTTGCCTCAGGGAAAAGCGGGCTG